GTGACTGCACATCCAAACAGAGTGAAGATAAAGTAAGTCAGTGATCTTCGTTTCACCAAGTCACCCTCGTAATCAGAGTCTGCATAGCCAACCACACCATCACCATGGCCTTTATCATCATATACCAGACAAATATCAGACGCTCATTTCAAATATCGCAAGATCCACTTTACAACTCCCTAGTGAGCTTTATCCGGATTAGCCATAAACCTGCTCACCACACTAACCGCATAAGTGAGATCTAGTCTTGTAAATACCATTGCATACATAAGACTTCTAACTGCACTTGAATATGGAACCGTCTTTATGTAGCTAACCTCTTTAGCTAACCTCTTCATCCGTGGCTAGTATAGTGCTTCGATCAAGTTTAAAGTGTGCGGCCAAAGGGGTACTTACCGGTTTGGACTGATCACAGAGAATGCCTGCAAAACATTCTCAATATATTTTTATAGAGAAACCTATAGCTGTCTTGCTTCTCTATCACGCCAGATCTCCACACCCAGTATTTTCTTTGCCGCACCCAAATCCTTCATCTCAAACTCGCCCTTTAGTAGAGCCTTCAAGTCATTAATTACAACCATGTTTTTAGCTGCAATTAACATATCATCCATATACAACAGAAAATACGCAAAGGAATCACTAGAAACCTTTTTCGAGTAAACATAGTTATCAAACCGATTACGAGTATAACCATTAGACACCATGAAAGAATAAAATCTCTTATACCACTGCCTTGGAGACTGCTTCAAGCCATATAGAAATTTCTTTAACAAGCATACCTGGTCTCCTTTAGAACTGTCGAACCCCTCTAGTTGAGACATATAAATCTGTTCTTTTAGATTACCATGAAGGAATGTTGTTTTAACATCAAGCTGCTCCAGCTCTAGATCAAAAGCACCCACCATTGCCAAAAGAACCCGGATGGTTTTGTGTTTCATCACAGGATAAAAGACTTCATGGTAATCGATTCCTTCGTTCTGTGAGAATCCTTTTGCCACCAGTCTCGCCTTGAACCTAGCAGGTTCAACACCAGGAATTCTCTCCTTTCTTTTAAAAACCTACTTGCATCCTACTGGTTTCACCCCTTTTGGTAGTACAACAAGATCTCAAGTCTTGTTCTTTTCAAAAGACTGCATCTCTTTATTCATTGCTATAATCCAGTTTTCTGCATATTTACTCACCACAACTTCTTTATATGTCTTTGGCTCATCAGAGCCAAGATCATCACCAACCGCCAATGCGGGCCACATAATTCATGTTACATGTATTGACACATCCTGCAAATCTAGTTGGCTTCTGAATATATCTTTTTCCTTTTTTTGTTGCTATGGAATCTTCAACCCCAGTACCAGCGTCATCAGCTTCCTCCTGAACCAGTTTCTCTTGAGGTTTTAACTGATATGGTTGATCGGGTTGATCAATAGTATTATCTTGCTTCTCTTCATCTAACACAACTCTGTCAGTAGTCTCAAACTCCACCATCTGGTCAGTACCACAATGTTTTGTACCTGCAATACTTTCACAACATCTACTCTGATCAAGCATAGAAGATTCATCAAAGGTTACGTATATGCTAATAAGAAATTTACTAGGATTTTTACCTTCTATACACCCAGTCGATAACCTTTGACTCCTGTTACATACCCTAGAAATATGCATTTTACCGCCATCAGCTCCAGCTTACCATCATTCACATGAGCGTATGCAGGACATCCAAATATTCTTAGATTAGAGTAATCAGAGGGTTTATCGGATCATACCTCTTGAGGAGTCTTTAAGTCAACTGCAGTTGATAGAGATCTATTAACCAGATAGCTAGCAGTGTTAACTACTTCAGCCCAGAATTGCTTAGATAAGCCAACAAATATGCACATACACCTAGCACGCGCCATGAGGGTTTGGTTCATTCGCTCTGCAACCCCATTTTGTTGTGGTGTGTGTCGTATAGTGCGGTGCCTCACTATACCTTCTTTCTTGCAAAAATCATTAAATAGAGCGTTGCAGAACTCCAACCCATTATCAGTTCTTAGAGTCTTGACCTGTTTACCCGTCTGTTTTTCAACCATGGTCTTCCATTCGTTGAACTTCCCAAACACCTCATCTTTAGTTTTCAAAAAGTACAACCAGACTTTTCTTGAATAATCATCTATGAAAGTAACAAAGTAAACAATCGCCCTGCGATTTCTCCGGAGAGGGACCCCATAAATCTGAATGAACATACTCCATATTTTCTTTTGAACTGTGATGACGGGTACAAAACCTCACCCTACATTGCTTCCATTTTACACAAGCCTCATAGAATTGAATTTTACCTGTCATATCCTCACCAAATAAACCCTATTTGCTCAACACAGACAACCCTTGCTCTCGCATGTGACCCGATCGACAGTGCCACAAATTTGTCCAGTCATCATGTTTATCCAAAGACTGGGATACTGCCACCGTTCCCATCACTGAACTGCCCTATAGAAAATAAATTTCATACTGCAATTTTCCCTTCATCATCACCAGAGCACCTTTCAAGACTTTCACCCACTTACTTTCTCCATGATATTTTAAACCATTCTTGGCTAAGGTGCCAAGAGAAATCAAATTCTTTCTGAGTTCAGGAATATACCAATAGTCAAATTTCCTGACAGTACCGTCATGCAATTTTATCTGCACTATCCCGCTCCCTTTTATGGCTAGAACCCCATCATCACCTAACTTCACTGTTCTATTTCACTCCTTAAAAGAAGTGAGTAGATCACGAGAGAACGTCATATGGTGAGAAGCACCGGTATCCATAATCCAGGAATCAACAGTACTAGCACTACACGCTGACAGAACTTCAGCAAAGTCCCCATCATCAGAACTGTCTTGTACCACAGCAGCACTGCTGCCACCGTTACTAGAACCAAATTTTGTATTTCCCTTCGTTTGTGGACAATCATTTTCAATGTGTCCATTCTCCTTGCAAAGATAACACTTAAATTTGCTAAAGGATTTTGATTTTGAATGCGACCTCCCATTCCTGTTACCCCTCTCATGTGGTCTTCCCTTACCTGCAAACAGACCTGAACCAAAAATCTCTTCCGGAGAAACCTTTATTTTTAGTTCTTTGGACATAAGGGCATCTTTCACATCATTAACAGAAATTGTAATTCTACCATATAGCATAGTATCTACAAAAATTTTATATGAACCAGGTAGTGACCACAGTAAAATTAGGGCTTGATCTTCATTATCTATTTTAACCTCAACCCCTTGAAGATCAATAATAATACGGTTAAAGGTATCAAGATAATCCTTTACCTGAGTACTTTCGGACATCCGGAGGGTGTAAAGACGTTGCTTCTAATATAGCCTGTTCGTGAGAGAGTTGTTCTAGTACTTTTCACACAATTTATTCCATAGCCTAAAAGCCGTCGTCTGATCTACAACCTCACGTAACACCTCATCAGTAACTAACAGCAAGATTGCGAAATGAGCCTTTGCCAAAATCTCTTTATTCATCTCCTCCTTCGTGTCTTTAGGAAACTTGTCTTCTCCCTCAAACTCAGCCGCACATCCTTGTTGAACTAGGAGTGCCCTCATCTTAACTTTTCAGAGCGTGAAGTCATTCGACCTATTAAACTTCTCCATATCAAACTTATACGATGACATCTTCAATCAATGAGATATGGTTATTAAACCACTTGTTATGAAAAAATGAAAAAGAAAGCAAATAAATAACACAGAGGTTTTACGTGGTTCGGTGACGGTGTATCAAACCTACGTCTACGGACAGAAACCGGAGAGATTTTATTATACTGATTCAGAGAGTTACAATCACGTCATAAGACTAGGAACCATAACTATCTATTAATAAGCACCCCAAAATACCCTAAACCCTAAGTCTATTTGTTATTAATTAGGATAAACCCAAAATAAACCCTGCCAATTGAAACAACCTTTTTGCTTTGGTTTCAGGTCGGATAGACCGCTAAATCAAAGTCACGTTTCAACAATAAGACTATGTTTACTTGCATATTTTTTAAAATTTTAATACTATATATTATTAGTAACAATTTTTTTTTTTTATATATATAAAAAAAAGGTCAAATCAACATGATACTAGTTGGCTCAAATCCTCGTCATATATATTCATCAGTCACATAAATTTTAGCCAATGATATGAAAAATAAAATATTAAATATAATTTTATATAAAAATTTTCAATATATATATAGTTATATATAAATAATATAATTAATTTATGTAAATTTAAATGTATATATATATAAATATTTATCTATTTATTTATGAAAGATAAAAATTAGAGATTACAAGTGGTCATTTTAAAAAATGAAAAATAGTTTAAGTAAAAATAAATAAATAAATATATAATTTACGATATATACGGATAAACGACAATTTTCTTTTGTAATATACTTCATTCGATCCGCTTAAGTTTGAAGATTAAGAGTGTGGTTCATTTAGATTTCAAATGCAAATTAAAATTACTATTCACTTTTAATAAAAAATAAATTATTTATTTATGTAAAATATTACATCAAAAAATTATTTAAATTAAATTTCTTAGATGAGCAAAGCTCCTTCCTTCGTAAAAAATTTGCCTAGGTCAAAGATTCATTTGTAGCGTAAATTACTTTGCACCTTAGGAACATGTTGAAAACTATATAATATTTAATTGATAATATACATATATATATATATATATATCCTTGTGGCTTAAGTTTTAAGTGAGATCATTTAACATGGTCAAGTAGTATCTGTATATATATATCCTAGTGGCTTAAGTTTTAAGTGAGATCATTTAACATGGTCAAGTAGTATCTGTTCCTGTCTAATTTTGGCACCATACATAGCGAAGAGTGCACTGCACTTATATACCATATATGTTATTTAATTAACGAGCCTAACGTGAACAGTTAATTATTCACAAGGAAGCCGAAGCAAATTCAGCTCATAGTGTCCCTCTATATATATATATATATATATATGAAGCCGCCATGCCAATTCTAACCTCCACGGATCCAACGGCGTGTTGAACTTACTGAGAAAATGACGGTGATTAATGCCGGCGTTTTCATTTCCCCGTTGTTTGGATCTGTGTTGCATTGCGATTTTCGAAGGAAGAAAATATCGGTCAATTTCAAGGCTTTAAGTAGAAATGAGTACTGTGTCAAGAGCTCTGCCGGCTTGAGGATCAAGTGCGGCGCCGGCACTGAAACTGATGTTATTGTTGTGGGTGCGGGTGTAGCTGGAGCCGCGCTGGCCTATGCGCTAGGCAGGGTAAGTTAAAAGAAGTACCTTATGCTATATAAAAGCATGTGTTGTGCAATTTATATATAATATTAAGTTGAATGTATATATTGTGCTCAAAATCATTAATATATAATGTCATATATTGTATATTATTATGTGCTATTATACATTGTATTATAGTGTAGTGTCATTTATGTGAGGTATGCCTTACATATGTGCTAACTGCGGCAAATCATCAGCAAATGCATATGTATACACAACATTAGTACAAAATTACCACATGTTTTGTAGCTGGAAATTTGTTTGTTGCAATTCAAGTTTGCTGTTCTTTATCATTTGCCATGTTTAGAGTTAACCAAATCTGCTATGTATCCATTGGAAGTAACAAGAAGTTTGAGTGATTTTGAAGTAGTGTTAAGTGGTAGAAGACTTGTACAATCCATCTATCTAGTTGCAAAATCAACTACATCGAAATCTTGCATCCTTAATTCCTACTCGGATCATGTAACTAATGTAAGTGCAGGACGGACGTGAAGTTCATATCATCGAGAGGGATTTAACAGAGCCGGATCGCATTGTTGGTGAGCTGCTACAGCCTGGAGGATATTTGAGACTAATCGAGTTAGGTCTCCAAGGTAAAGTGATGAAAACCTATAAAATATATATGATGACAGAGTATGGCTGTCTTCTTCTGTTGTGATTAATTCTGATGTAAATGCAAATGACTAATGAGTGCAGATTGCTTGGAAGACATAGATGCTCAACCAGTTTTGGGATGTGCCTTTTTCAAGGATGGTAAGGATGTTAAAATACCATATCCCTTAGAAAATTTCCCTTCAGATGTCTCTGGAAGAAGCTTTCACAATGGCCGCTTCATACAAAACATGAGACACAAAGCATCGACACTTCCCAAGTAGTATATAATTTCATATTTTCGAAACATTCTTCTTTATTTCAAAACACATTCTTATATATATATGGATATATATATAGTGTAAGGCTTGAACAAGGAGCAGTGACATCCTTGGTTTCGGAAAAGGGAATAATTCGAGGAGTGAGGTACAAGACGAAGAATGGGGAAGAAAGAACATCTTTTGCTCCTCTCACTGTTGTTTGTGATGGAGGCTTTTCCAACTTGAGTAGATCACTCTGCACTTCCCAGGTCATGACTGTAATACAATATATATATACCTTAACAAAATTTAACTAGTAGTGTCTAGGAATTAATTCCGACGTCGTCTTTATGTCTAGAATTCTTGATAATAATATAATGTTTGTTCCATGATTTATCCTGCAGGTAGAGTCGTGTTCCTGGTTCGTGGGTCTGGTCCTGGAGAATTGCCAACTTCCCTATGCAAATTACGGGCATTATGTTTTTGCTGATCTTTCTTCCATTATATGTTTTCCAATCAGCAGTAGAGAAGTTCGGTGTATTGTAGATGTTCCCAGACAAAAAGTTCCTTCAACTGCCAAAGACCAAATGGCTATTTATCTCAAGACAGTTGTGGCTCCTCAGGTACGATTCATAATTATATGTTCTTCCACAATCACTCACTTTGCTCTTCTATTCTATTCTATTCTATGGATTCACCTAGCTCCATTGTATTTATTAACCACGCCTAGAGAATATATATATATATATATGTGTGTGTTTATATATTGTGAATGATGAACAAGGCTGCTACCCTTCTACGACATATATGAAAATGATATGTTTATCTCCTTTGAAAATATATATAGACTTTTCCAGGGCCGTCTCGGACCTTTTTGGGGTCCTGAGTGAAAATAAATTATAGGTCCTATAAACATATGGTTAAAATGTATTTTTAAAATAATAGTACTGATTGACGTGGATTGAACAAGAGGTTGAATGTGACCGTCTGGACAATGTCAATTTGAAAAAAAAAAAGATGAAAAATGGAAAAGCAAAAAGGTCAAAAGAAGAGTGAAAGAGAAGGTGATGCGTGTTTGGTTTGAGTTGGTGGGCGCAATGCAATGCGACATAGTGTGAGGTAAAAAAGTGTAGACGACGATTAAATTTGGAATAATAGGTGAGGCGTGGTTAGGAAGAAAAAGATAGAAAAAAATATATAATTAGAGTTTAAAAATTTAATTTTAAAATTAAATACTACGTCCGTCCACCGCCAATCTAACCATTTTCATTTGACCGTCATCGTTTTTAACATTAAAAATATCCTTATATTTGTATAATTTTTTGTACAAATATCATTACATTTGTATTATAAGAAAACAAATAGAAGTATTTGTGTCGTTTTTCCTTGATTTGTACTAAATTTTGAAATAATAATTAATATTAAAAGATTACCATACAAAAATTAAATGGATAGATTAACTGTAGACGAAAATAGTAGAATAATTATGAAAAATAAAAAAATATAAATTAAAAGTTAAATTTAAAACATAGAGCCTCTATTAATTAGATTTTCTAAGCAATTGTTCACTCTATTCCTACTGTAAGCCGCCACTGGAGTTTAAAACTTTTACTGAATTCAAACAAGTTTATTTCTATATACTACAAATTAAGTCATCATTTCATTAGCATTGCAGCTCCTTCTAGTGCTAACCTGACTAAAATAGATTGCCTTTTTCAGATTCCTTCTCAGCTATATGAAGCATTCATAGCAGCTATCGATAAACGAAACATAAGAACGATGGCCACCAGAAGCATGCCGGCAAATCCTCACCCCTCTCCCGGCGCGCTTCTGATTGGCGACGCTTTCAACATACGTCACCCTATAACTGGGGGAGGAATGACCGTTGCCCTCTCTGACATTGTTGTCCTCCGCAATGTTCTCAGAAGCGTGCACGATTTAAGCGACACACCTACACTTTGCAAGTATCTCGACTCCTTCTATATCCTGAGAAAAGTAAGTTGAATGAAACCAACACAATTACCAATTGAATTCAATCAATATATGTGCAAACACAACATGGCATTTTGAGGTATAAAAATTTTGGATTGCAGCCACTGGCATCGACAATAAACACACTTGCTGCTGCACTTTACAAGGCGTTCAGCATATCGTCTGATCCAGCAAAGCAAGAAATGCAGCAGGCTTTGTTCGACTACCTAAGCCTCGGTGGCATTTTCGCCAATGGTATTATTTCTTTAGTGTCGGGATTAAATCCGCGCCCGGTGAGCCTATTATTTCTGCATTTATTTGCTATGGGTGTGCATGGTGTTGGGAGATTGCTACTTCCCTTTCCTACTCCAGGAAGAGCTTGGTTAGGCGTCAAATTTCTTTGGGTAACTCCCTTATTCTATTTATCTAAATTAAGGCTTAAGTTAGAGTGTTGATTGAAGATTTATAAGCAATATTATTGTTCCAATCTGAAAATACTATACATAACATATGAAAATATATCAGGCAACCAGAGTCGGTCTTGACTTTCGAAGGGCTCAGGGCAAAATAAAAATTAGGGGCCCTACAATATATATATATATATAATACTTTTACCAATAAAATATAAATAATAAAAAAACATTTTTTCTATTATTTTTTTTTTTATGTAAAAAATGTCAATAATAATAATAATGTAAAATTGTTCATAACTCTCATTTAGTTTCGAAAGTTAGCATAAAATTTTTTCATGTACTTTAAAAATTGTGTAATACCCCTTTATATTTTAATAAACACTATAAGAAACCTCGGTCATGCAAAAAAAAATATAGATAAAAATCATCTAATCACCTAAAAATATAAAAAGGAGTTACATGGAAATTTTTATTTTTAAATTAGAGAGAGTTTTGAAACAAAAAAGAGTTATTGACAAGTTTTTCCTAATAATAATAATAATTTTGTCTAATATTTATTTTTTTTAATAAAAAAAATTAAAACAAAAATAGAAAACCCCTAAATATATATAAATAATTTATAAATAACATAAATAAATAATGACCCAATTTAGATTGGCCCTGGGCCTAGGGCCGCCATATTCTATACAGAGGATTTGTATATGTGATCAATTCTATTTTATATATGTAATAAATATTTATATCTAATCTGTTGTGTGATATATATTATTGTATTGTCAACACAACGTCATATGTTAATGACTCACCCCGTCTTATCTACCGTGTCCATATTGCCGTCCGTCTCACATTTTATGTTATTTCTTTTTTCGAAAAATGATTACACATTGCAATTTTATTTTAAATTTTTTTATTGATGTTAATTTTAGTAATTATTTTTATTAATACATTCTTAATTATGTAATAATTATATACATATCCTAAAATTTTGTATCTATAGTTATCCGGACACAATAGGTGGCACGGAAGGAGTAATAATGTTTTCATGGATACACAGGTTGCAGGTGGAATTATATTCCCAATTATAAAGGCAGAGGGAGTTAGAGAGATGTTCTTCCCTGCAACTGTTCCAGCTTACTACAGTCTCAAAATTCCTTCTAATTTATTTAACAGAAACCGTACAATGTAATAAGAATGCAGAGACCAATTATTTATTATGACATATTTATATGTTTCTTTGGCTGTATAGATAGAAAATATTTCTATACTATGCTATAAAAATTATTTCGACGGGAAAGATTTGGTGCCAAGTTGATGATAATTTAAGTATTTCAGCGTCGCTTTGCGCACAATTGTGGATAAAGAAAGTAGTAGCAAAAGTGTAGATGAGTTGTAAATGGATTACGAAAATTTGAAAAAATTGTCCATAACTTCTTTGTAATTTCGAAATTCAGTGTAAATTCTTCGTATACTTTAAAAATTGTATGAGACCATCTTATACTTAAAAAATGTTACATAAAATCCCGCTATATAAAAAATATAGATAGGAAATCATTTTCTCATCACACAAAGGAATGTAAATAAGGATTTTAAAATTTTGTTATTACCACTACACTGATTATTCATATAGATAATCAAGATACATTCAAGATAATAATTAATTGATTTATAAGTTAAGTTGTCTCTTGAACTCTGTGACTGTAGAACTCTCTTAATTAACTTCAATGCATAAGTTTAACTACGTGCCATCACACCAAACATATGCTAGTAGACTAAAATTGACAGCAATTTGTCATGATATCTATAGTATAAATATATTTTTCTAAAGATAATAGTATATTGAAATGTAAACAAAAAGAAAGAAAAAAAAGTAGTTGGTATGCTTGTATTGGAAGTGACTTCTATACTGCGTCAAACAATAGAAAATATAACTTAGATCATTCATTTACAATAGTTGCACAATTTTGTTAAGATTCTCAAAATAATATTTGGTTCTATAATTGTGGATTTCTAATGGTTATTTTAAGCTTAATATCAATATATGATTGTTATAATGTCATAGTTTTTTTTTTTTTTAATTTTATTTTGTTTAAAAAAATTGTCCCAGACATTTGCAACAACAATTAAAAACGTTTTTATTTATCACCGCTTGATCTACAAGGGTTTGACAACAATTAAAAAAGTTATTGTCATGGAGTTCTGCAATAATTTCGTTAGGTTTATTTTAGGAACAATTATTTGATTATTTCGAATGTATTGTCCCAAACATATGCAATAATTGTTAAAAAAAAAAAAAAAAAAAAAAAAAAAGGTAATAGGTGGTTAATTGTCACAAAATTGCATGACAATTACCGTCACAAACACAATTGTTGTGGAGCTTTGTGACAATTCTTAAAAATTAATTAGTTTTAAATTTTAACTGAATTTGATTGTCAAATTATAATATATTTCTGCAACAATTCTTTTATCATTTAATTTCAAAAAATTATTGCAAACATCTGCGATAATTATTAAAACTGTATTAATATTTATTGTACAAAGTTCCTTGACATTTCTTTTAAAGCACATACAATGATCCAATTTAAAAAACCCCTCCAGAGCTTACGTGTCTCTCACGTGTCCAAGACGTAATCGATCCCTACATTCCAAAACCCAAATTCTTCCGCAATGGCTCACTTCAAGAAAATAAATAAAAAAAAAAAACACAAAACCCTATTTTTTGGTCGAGCTTCACCGGATTTCACACCATTTAGCCGGATTTCACAAAGCTTCGACGGATTTTACAAAGCTTCACTGGAGAAAAACAAAAGTCTCGTCGGATTCCACACCTTGCCGGATTTCACAAACCTTCACCTGATTCCACCTCTTTGCCAGATTTCACAAACCTTCACCGGATTTCACTCAACTTCGCCGGTGGTTGCTGCCCGCAACAGATCCCACCGCCGGCCGATCTGCCAGCGTGTAGAAGAGCAGTAGACAGAGAAAGGGAGGAGAGACATCGCCCCTTCTCTTCTACTGGATGGCCACTCACGTCGATGGAGGGTTCAAATGTGGGATTTCACAGCTTTGCTCCAGGATGACGAAGATGAAGATGTCAACGGAGGAGAAGGAGAGAGAAAGAAGAATGAGAAAAGTGTCCCCCGAAGCCCCTTCGCCTGCACCAAGTCCTGTGCGACGCCAACTCGAAAAACTGCCTATACTTTGAAGCCGTTAAGAAGATAATTTTTGAAGAGAAGAGTGGAAGTCGTCGACCTGGTGTGCGAAGCCCTTCTAAAATAGGGTCACTGTCTATGCTCTTAGGTACTATTATTTAAATTTGTTGGTACAAGTATAACCTTAAAATCTCATTTTGCTATTTTCGGCAATGAACATGCATGCTGACATGCTGTCGCGGCTATTTTGTAACACAATTTCGAGTTTGTAAGAGTCAAACCTATTATACATTCAATGCTTTGAGACAAAGGGACTTGTCTCATGTGGAAGATAAGTCAGACGTGATAGTGGAGTGTTTCATTTGTCCTACATGCCATTAATTGTCTTTATACACATAGTCATAAGGTTGATGAGTCAACTTTTTCATTTAGTATAGTGTGTATTTGTTTTGTTTGTATGTTTGTTTGTTTTCGTGGATGAGGAACCAAGACCAAAGAGGTTTTTTTCCTCTCCACTTGTTTGTGTGTTGAAAGAGCTCATCTATGGAGGTTTGAAGATGAGAAGAAGAATTTCTTAGAGTTGAAGCCGAATGAGTCATTCATCCGATAAACAACCTTATTTCTAGCTTAGCCGCAGGTCTGCTAGTGTTTGTTACGGCGCAGTAACAACCAGTCCATGAGAGTTTGTATAAAATAAATAGAACTTGGGTAGAAGATAGGTTCGGTAGTTCGGTTTGGTGTCTTATATGGTGTAAACAAAGTATTTGGTTTAGTTAAGTCTCCCGAATTAGAATCCCCCAAACGTAGGTTGGAAAATTAAACTAGGTAAACAAAATTGGTTTGTTGCTCTTTCTTTTTGCACTTATTCAACCTTCGATTTATGCACGCACACACAGTGCTGTTATAAACGTGAGACAACTACGTTGTAAAATAGTGTTTACGTTGAACGTTTCAAAGTTCCGTTGTGCAAGTTACTCGGAGGTGTTGGACCTCTTATTCGATCGTCCCTTCGATTTCCAAAATTTGGTATCAGAGCAACGTGCTCAATACCCCGAGTAGATTTGTCCATGGTTCAAGATGAGTCGTGAAGTAATCTCGTCCATTCGTCCACCTGTGTTCGATGGGAACAACTACACCTACTGGAAAAACAAGATGGAGGCCTATTTGTTAACTCTTGGTGATGAAACTTAGGAAGTTGTAGAGCTTCGTTGGACTCCTCCAACCAAAGTTATGCCTGGAGACACTCAGAACGACCCCCCAACTATTGTTCTGAAGTCGAAAAATGAGTGGACACATGAAGAAAGAATTGTTGCTGGTGGAAATGCTAAAGCTATAAATGCTATATTTGTTTCTGTCGATGAAGTTCAATTTCATGTTATCTCAAACTGTAAGAAAGCAAAGGATGCATGAAGAGCCTTGGAAAATGCATTCAAAGGGACTGCTGAAGTTAAATAAACAAAACTCCAAACGGTGGAAAGTATGTTCGAAGCCTTGAAAATGATTGATGATGAAACAATGTCTGAGTTCTACACTCGATTCAAGAATGTGGTGAACCAAGCCTATGCTCTTGGCTTGGAATATGATAAACAAAGGTTGGTTCGAAAGATGTTGAGAAGTGAGAACAAAAAATTTAAAATTAAAGTCTCTACTCTTGAGGATAAGAAGAAAACCAAGAACATGAATTATGAAACCTTAAATGGTATTTTCGTGAATCGGAAGATGAATCATATTGAAGAAGAAAGCTCAAAAGGGATTGCTCTTACTGCTGAAGATCTGGAGCTTGTCGAATCTGATAAAGAAATGTCTCTAATAATAAGTGAAAAACGTACTCGAAAGTTCCACAATTCTAGAAACAGAGGTCACTATAGTGGCAAAACAACTGGTGAACAACGAAAGTATCCAGAACAGAAAAGTGTTGGTTACAGCAAGGGAAATAGAGCTTATGGTAAAACTTACAAGAAGAAGTTCAACATTCCTTCTAGGCCAGAAAACTCAAGTGATCCGAAATATTTTGCATGTGGCGGAGCTGACCATGTGAAAGTGGAATGTGCAACATTCAAAAAGAAAGAAAAGCATGCATTTCAAGCTACTTGGAGTGATGAGGAAGGCAGTCAAGAATCTAAAGATGAAAGTGATAATAAAAGCGTTGTTGCTTTTGTTGCCGAAGAAGAAGAATCTAGCAAAGGAAAGGAAAGTGCTGCTGAAGAAGAATATAACAACAACGACACAATAGAGATAGAAATCTGTGAGCTGATGGAAGCTTATGGGGAAGTTGTAGCCAAACAAAAACTTTGTGTAAAGAGAAACAAGAATTTGATCAACATAATCTACTATTTGGAAGCTCGAGTTGAAAAAGCTGATGAAATGAATCAAGAAATATTTGAAATCAATGAAGGACTTTAGAGAGAAGTCAAACAATTGAAAATGAAGTGTGATGATCTGAGAGAAGAGAATAATAGACTCAGAAAAGGAAAAGACAAACTCGATGAAGTTTTATCGATTAGGAAGCCATTTGGATATTATCGTGGGATTGATTATCAAGAATCCATAAAGGTGAAACCAACTACCTTTGTGAAAGGTGGTTTTCTTACTAATGTGAAGATTCCAGAGAGACCTTCAAAGGGGAACACTGAAGGTCCCAAATAAAACCGAAAGGAGAGGCGAAATAAAAATTGCAGAAGGAACAAACGTGGCAATCCGTTGTCACAACAGAAGAGTAACTGCAAGTACTGTTTTCAATTTGGTCATGTTGAATCTCACTGTTTCAAGCTGGCTAGGGATTCGATGTCTGGAAATGAGGTCCATTGGCCCTCAGAAGAGCTGAAACAAAGGGTGAATTTCATAATAGAATGGAAACCTAAGAAGAATACATCTCAAATGATGTGCAATGTCATCCTATCTAGTCAAGAAGCAATTAATTCATCCCGATGGTATTTTGATAGTTGATGTTCACGCCATATGACGAATCAAAAACATCTATTGAAGAATTATGTAGCTGATACTTGTGGAGAAGTGATATTTGGAGATGGAGCCAAAGGAAAAATTGTGGGCTATGGTTTTCTCGAAGCCAAAGGTATACCGAAGTTGTCGAAGTATATTTTGTTGAAGATTTGAGTACTAATCTCATTAGTATCCAGCCAGTTAT